TTTTTTTTTTTTTTTTCTTTTTTGGCTAATCATATGTAAGGAACCACAACTAGAGGAGACCAGAGCACCTGCGCTGTGGCCTGGAGGCCGCCATATCCATCTCCCTATGGGTGATTGGGTGATGATGGTGACGCATGTAGTTTTCTTCATAGCCAGCAGAGGACTTTTTGCTCTAATTTCATTTCATGCTGCTTTGTTCTCACCAACATCATTTTTTGAGGATCTTTTCCAGTCCCTAAAGAGTAAATGCTCAGTAGAAGATTCCAATGTGAGGAAACTTTTAAAAAAATGTTTTATCTTTTCCAAGTAGCTCTAACAATCCTTGTGGAGGTATTGGGAAACCTTTCACTTAGCATAGCATTGACAGCCTGAAAAGAATTACAATTTGCAATCCCCCACTCTTTCTGCCCTCCTGCTGACATTACGTAGGAATATTTCTTAAAAGGGTGAGGTAACACAGAATTTACAATAATACTATTAGCCAAAGTTTACTGAGTGCTCACTATGTGTAACAGAGTATCTAAGTGTTTTAAGAATATCTAACCCATCATTCAGCCTGACAACATTAACACTTAACTCAAATAACAGCCTGATGATGTAGAAGCTATTATTATCCCTGTTTTACAGATGAGGAAACTGAGGTATGGAGAGTTTACATCCTTTGATGAAGGTGACACAGCCAGGAAGCTTTGACGCCAGACTGTAAAGCACTAGTAATAATCACGTTAATAAGATAAATAGTACAGTCCTTGTTCTGTTACTGTGTGAATGTTTTATGTAAACACTAACATTTAATCCTCATAACACTCTGAAATAGACTTAATTGTTCCCCATTAAGGCCCAGAGATGGGGAACCTACCTGAAATCACACAAGCAGCCAGTGGCAGGCTGGTAGGCTGGCCCACGACTCCACTCCTTGACTTTGTACACCAGGCTTCCCAGGACTGTTCAGGACCCTTTGAATTCCTTTGAATTGCGTGTTCCTCTCATTCCTCTGTGGCACTCAGTGTCTGCCCCATTCATTTTGGCTTAGACCCTGTTTTCCAATGTTGTTAACTCTGTCTTCTTTCTTCCCTTGGGCTGCAGAGCACCTCTTGGAAACCAGGTATCATGCCTTGTCATGGCATGAGCACTGTGTCTGGCAGATGCTTACTCAAATGAAATGAAGGAAAACAAAACAAAAATATCCCCCAGCTATATTCAATTTATCTCCTTACCACCTGTCTCTATCATTTTATTTTAAATTTCAACTATGGTCAATCAAAAATGTATTGAGAGGTTCTTTCAAGAAGGGCACAGTATTAGTCCGTTTTCACACTGCTGATACAGACATACCCAAGACTGGGTGATTTAGAAAGAAAAATAGGTTTAATGGACTTACAGTTCCACGTGGCTGGGGAGGCCTCACAATCATGGCAGAAGGCGAAAGGCACATTTTACATGGTGGCAGACAAGACAATGAAAGAAAGAGAAAGGAGAAACCCTTTATAAAATCATCAGCTCCTCTGAGACTTATTCACTACCACGAGAACAGTATGGGGTAAACCACTCCCATGATTCAGTTATCTCACACCACAACATATAGGAATTATGAGAGCTACAATTCGAGATGAGATTTGGGTGGGGACACAGCCGGCCCATATCAGGCACTGAGCTGGGTGTTTGGGTGTAGAAAGGCATATGGCCTGGACTTGGCTTTTGGGGGCTTGGGTCCAACTGAAAAAGCTGGCTGTGGACACAGGTCATGAACCTTGTGAGGCAGAATGCACCATGAAAACGTGGGCAATCACACTGCTGTGGCTGGAGCAGAGCCCCTCTGTTGGAGCAAAGGCTTTCTGTAGGTGGGCAGGACTGCACTAGCTCCTAGGTCCTGGGTAGAAGTGAGCAGACATCCAGTGAGGAAACAGAGAGCCCCGGATGCCCAACTGGGTGGGTGTCATTCACGTAGAGACCTTCACTAAGCATGAACATGCCTGCCACTTGGCAATTTCAATGAATGAATGCTTTCCTTGCTTCAGAGATTCCCCAATTAAGGCAGCAACTAGTAAAGTGCGTTATTTCCTGGGGATCAGTTGGTAGGTGGGCATGAGAGGCTGAACTCTGGCTTCTGTCGTGCCTCTAGACCATAGGCTTAGTGATTGGATGATGTTGTTTTTCCAGGGTGAGTTGGGAATTGAAGGTCTGAGAAATGTATGTCATTTAGGTTGAGTTTTTACATGGAACTCCATGGAAT